TGTGTGTCTCTGTGTGTGTGTCTCTGTGTGTGTGTCTGTGTGTGTGTCTGTGTGTGTGTCTGTGTGTGTCTGTGTGTGTCTGTGTGTGTCTGTGTGTGTCTGTGTGTGTCTGTGTGTGTCTGTGTGTTTCTGTGTGTGTCTGTGTGTGTCTGTGTGTTTCTGTGTGTTTCTGTGTGTTTCTGCGTGTTTCTGTGTGTTTCTGGGTGTTTCTGCGTGTTTCTGCGTGTTTCTGCGTGTTTCTGCGTGTTTCTGCGTGTTTCTGCGTGTTTCTGCGTGTTTCTGCGTGTTTCTGCGTGTTTCTGCGTGTTTCTGCGTGTTTCTGCGTGTTTCTGTGTGTTTCTGTGTGTTTCTGTGTGTTTCTGTGTGTTTCTGTGTGTTTCTGTGTTTCTGTATGTCTGTGTCTGTGTCTGTGTTTGTGTGTGTGTGTGTGTCTGTGTGTGTGTGTCTGTGTGTGTGTGTGTCTGTGTGTGTGTGTGTGTCTGTGTGTGTGTGTCTGTGTTTGTGTCTACGTGAAAGGCTTCAACGGTGAATGCTAGTGAAATATTGACACGCCCTATTTCCGCCTTTTGCAGGCTAAGCGCATTGAACCCCATCTGAGGCTTCAACGAGCCAGACCAGCCACTTAGCCGATTTTTCGCACTGTGTGTGTGTGGGTGTTTTGTAGGGGCAGAACCCCTTCACCTGTGCTAAGGTATGGTCCCGCCTGTGCGGGCGACCTGATGCCCAGAGGCTTTGGCTGCGGGGAGAATGACTTCAGACCAGCGACCAGCAGGGATCCTGTGCGCAAGTCCACCGCCTCACCTGAGCCACAATCCAAGCCCGGGTAGATGAAGGTTAAGGGCCAGTCGCCAGATGTTGCGGATATCCGCCTTAATTCCTGAAGCATGGGATTACGGGATTACGACCATTTAGCTACCGGGCTTTGATTGTGCCTCACCGAACGCGTCCTGCGAACGCGTGAGAGCGCCTGCGCCGCGCCGCCGAGGTGCTGGCTTTGCCTCACTTTTCGACCCCGCAAAAGCCGCCAAGGAGTGGCAGAAGTTGGTGAACTTTTTGGCCTCAGCGCCTTGGCTCCCTTGCTGCGCCTAAGTTCATTTACGAGCTCATTTAAGTTCGTATTCATCTGAACTTGCACTAATCAGTTCCCTTTCAGTAGGGAAATGATCTATTTAGTCCCTTTGACTAGGGCTCCTCCGGATTAATCCGAAGTTAACATTAGATATGGATTGCTTGGCTTAGCTCATGCAGTCGGTGAGCTGAGGTGCCTGAGCGTGCCTCAAGAGCCTTGTCACAAAGGGCCGTGGAAGTTATCGGCGGGCCGTAAATGTGGACCTTTCATCGCAACACATGAATGTCGACCACCCCCCCGCCCGTTTTGTTACACTGTTGCACAGACTAAATCCAAATTTCGAGGGTTGACTACTTGACGGGTCTTGATTTGTTCTCGCGGCCGCTTGGGACTTGAGACTGCGGTTTCGTGACGAGCGCAAAGAAGGTGCAGAAGGCCTCGAACTGTCCCGAAGCGAAGAAATCGCGGAACAAGCGAAACACGGGCAGAGAAAGGCAGAGTTAATTTGTGGCAATCGCGAATGCGCTTGCAGGTTGCTGCATGTGGGATTTGGGCGTGTCTTTGTTGATGTTTGCAGTGGTCCTCAGCATTGCCTTACCTGAAGCAACGGCAGGTCTTAGCTTCGCACGCATTTTGGCATTGGATGCGTCTTCGCCCAAAGCGAATCGACCTTTCGACCTTTTGGTTCTTCTTTGGGACTATGGTTAGTCCCTTTTCCCCGATGTCTGTTATTGGTCAAGGTTCCAAAAGGTGGGCCGCAGGGTGCTTTGTTTGGGCTTCAGTTTTGAGGTGCCCTGCGGAAGATTGCAGCGCCGGCCATGGCCCAGTCCCCACTGCCACTGGATGACTGCAGCCAGGATCCAGCTTCTTGGTCCGTTCCATCGGCATCTGACCCAGGCCTTACCAGATGTGTTGGAGCTGTCCATCTTGGCTGCCAGTAGATTCTTGAAGGAAGTGTCATTCATCGTTTGCCAGCATGAATGCAGCAGAGTCTGGTTCGGATGCCGATGGTTCTGCAGCAGGGCCTTCGACTTTGAATCTTTGAAGTTTCGTTTGATACTGTGGATGGACGACATCCTGCACCACCGCAAAAAACCCTGGAAGGTTGATCCCCTGCAAATACCAACCAACAATGGTTTCAACCATGTTTTCAAAATGCTTCAGAGTTCTGTCCATCCACAGCAGCATTGGCTCCAGCAGCCACTGCAGGCTCTGCCAAATACCACCAAGTACTGCCGCGGCTGGCTGCAGCACTTCAAAGAGCAAACGTTGCCTCTTGCAAAGCAAGTGGCTCGAAATGCTCAAGCCCAAGATCGTTCCAGATTTCAGCAGGCCCTGCCGCGACATCGTGTCTAGTGGTTTAAGTAAACAGTTGCGGCGGGGCTGCCCTTGTTTGTTCTGTTCTTGATCTGACCTGGCTCTTCGTAAAGCCGCGCTTATTGGCTGCATCAGGCAGCAAACGGCCGCAGAACTCTGCACTCAGGCTGTTAGAGTGCATGGGCCTCTCCGGGCAGAAGACCAACTGCTGGGACGTAGTGGACGCCTTGCCGATCCACGCCTATGCCCGTGGCTCGAGTATTGAATGAGTTGCTTGCATCGTGTCCGGTTTTCTTTTGGGGGCGAAGCAAGGCTTCATGCGGCGCATCCAGACTGCCTGAGGAACAGCTCAAGAAGTCAAAGACAAGATTCACCAATATCACAAGGCAGGATCACACCCATTCCAGCACTGCAGGGCATCTTGCATGCAGTGCAGCAAGCGTTTGCAGATTACACGTGTCTGGATTTCAGCCTTGAACGCAGAAGTGGCACGGTCAGGTTTTCCAGGAGGATTTCGACGGAATCAACGGGCGCACTCGTAAGACGCTGTGGCTGACAGAGGCGGGGATCTACCTCAGCCGAAGGTTCTGCAGGAAGCGGCAGTCGGTAAGACAGAACTTGTTAGGTCCTTAGGCAGCATGAGTTACCATGATGCGTTCAACACATTGCGTCAAAAGGCGGGGGGGGGGGGGGGTGGGCGGGGCGGTTGCCAGAACTACGGCCAGATGTGGGCGGAAGGCAAACACAAATTTGATTGAGCCATGGCAAATAAAAGCATGAATTGGCACTTAGGTCCTTTCATGAAGTCCCTCCACAACCTCGCTGTGATTGTATTGGTTTGAACGGCCCCGACCACTGTCATAAACGAATAGGCCAAGTGAACTGATTAATTGCACTGGTGCAATTCCTGCGGAAGAGCTCACAGCCTGCAAGAGTAGCGGGAAAATTGGAACCAGGTCACCATGGGCACCAACGATGCCACCGACTTGGTCAAGTTTGTGGATGACCTCATGAGCCTTGTCAATGACCCAAAAACCCCTGCATTGTCTGCGGGATTGAAGACTGAGCCTTGGGCGCTTGGGGATTGGCCATGTATGTCTAACTTATGGCACAAAGGGGCATTGCATGCTCTGACCCTTGTGGATGCACGAGCTTTCGTAAGATTCACCAGAGGCCCTGAAAACGGCCAGTGAGGAATTCGGAGAACGGCCTGCAGAATCGCCAGCTCTTTGGCTTTCTGGACCGCGTGAGCTGGCCGCCTGGCAAAAGACGAAGTCGCGCACGGCAAAAAAAATGCCCGGAAAATGGCCGCTGGATCTGAGGTTCTCTCAATGGAGCGTGGGGTCCTTTCAACTTGGCTCCTATGCACCGCACACCGACGAGGTGCCCGTTGCTGGACGTACAAACTCGCAAGGACGACTGCAGAAGCTAATAGTGGCGTCCCATGATTCCCTGTGCCAGTCTTTGGCTCTTATCAAGAGGAAGTTTAACAAGAGTTTACGTAGCGCCTGAGCTGATTGAGCTAGCTCTCGTTAAGACTGCATGCGCCTGCGCGTGATCTTTAAGACTGGACGAGCTGCACGTGAAAAAGCTACGAAAAAGCAGGAAAACGCGGGGACGGGGACTAGAAGCGGGCCCAAAACGTTGCCTTTTGCTTGTTCGCTCCTTGCGCACGCGCACTCGGAGCGGGTGCCGAGTGGTCTGGGCTATGGGCCATTGGCATGGCCCCGCGCGGTGTTTCGCAACTTTCAATAAGTGAGCCCTCTGCGCGCTTCAGGGTTCGTCGACCCTCAAAATTGTGTGTGTGTGTGGGTGTGTGTGTGTGTGTTTTTTGGGATGTTTGCCTCGCTCGCGCAACCCTTTCTGGACTTTCGGGGGCCCGACCTTAACAACTCATGGTTTAGTCAATTTATCAGCTTGCGCTACCATCAAAAGGTGATCCATTTGCGAACTGTTGGCGTGTTTCGACCCAAAAAAGACTCTTGGTGTTTGCATTTCTCATTTAAGTGCAGGCTGGAGAGAGGGAGAGGGTGAAAGAGAGAGAGAGAGAGAGAGAGAGAGAGAACGAGAAAGAGAAATAAAAAATGAAAAAGAGAAAGAAATAGAAGGAAGAGCAGAAAGAGAAAGATAAATAAGCGAGAGAACGAGAAGGAAACAGAGAAAGAGAAAAGGAGTTTGAGGAAAGAGATATGGAAAGAAGGAGAAAAAGAAGAGCGGAAAGAAGAAAGAGAAAAAAAAGAAAAATAAGAGAGAGACAGAGAAAGAGAGGGAAACAGAGACAGAGAAAAGAAACAGAAAGGGATAAGCAGAAAAAGGTAGGGAAAGAAGAAGAGAAATAAGAAAGGGAAATAAGTTATAGAGAAAGAGGAGGAGGAAAGAAACAGAAGATAAAGGGGACAGAAAGAGAGAGCCAGACGGAGAGAGCGAGAAAGAGAAAGAGAGAAGGATAAGGGCATAGAAGCATGCACCCAACTATATTTCTTTAGTTTGAACCTTCGGCCCCGAACGTGGCCGGACTTTACTGGTAACCTCCCACATGTGGATGCTTGATCCCTGCCGCGCAGACATTCCATTTGATGAGAGCGGGAGGGCACGCAGAAACGCGCACCCTGAGCTACCACGAGGCATGGTCCTCCAGCCTTTTCGAGCCAACCACAGGCCGTTTCACACCGCACGGGCTGCGGCTTGGCGGCACACCTAAAATCACTTGAAAGCCTGATGGGCACGAATGGCTGTGGTTGTCAAAACCGTTTTGCGATCCCATTTTGGGATAGGTGAATTCACCGGATGTTCACTGGGGGCACGGGGTTTTGACCCATGGCCGAATCATGTGAAGAGCTCGTGCGGGACACACCCTTGAAATTGATCAGGAACTTTGTACGCCACTGCAGCTGCTGGGCTGCAGTCAGCAAGTTCTTGACAGAGAAGTTGACTGGAAGCAAATCAAGTGTGAGCATTTGGATGTCAAAACCCAGTCGCGCAGTGTCCTTTCAGGTGAGTCGATTGTGAGGAAGTCGCTGGCTCGAAATGTTGACCATTCGCAAGGACAAAACTCTACTAGTCCCAGTGCTGGCGCTCCTGCACCAGTGGCTCCTTCCATGGCTCCGGCACCGGTGGCGCCTTCCACGGCGCCGCGCGAGCATTCGCGTCCGCACCTTGGCTTCGCAGGGCAACCAACTCTTCGAAGCAACTTGCGACGCGGATCTCTTGCAGCAATGCTGAAAATTGTGGCCTCGGGCATCGCTTTCATTCACGTCCACAGACGGTTCATGTTCAGTCATCGCAAAAGCTGGCCCGTCTCCGTCGGCGATTCGCGTTTTTTTGCCGGCCAAGGAAAAAAGAGTCCATGGCAGGGGACTGAGGGGACGGCGGAGGTCGAGGAGTTCGGTCGATCAAGCCTTTCAAGGGAACAACAAACAAACTCAATACTAAAAGCCATTGTCAGCATGGCAGTGTCAACTCATTGCGGCATTGCAACTTGTTGGTGAGCTGGGGTCAGCTGGAGTCGGCTGGATTGGTGGGAGCCGAGGTGGGCACGGAGCCATACGCACATTGCACGGCCATCTTGAACAGGCCACATGAACACACTTCTCCCCGAGCAAAACGGGGTACTGCGCCGCCGCCATTGAGCTCCGGGGCACAGTTACATCTGAAGAAGCCCAGTTGACAGCAGAACAGCTGACTTACTGTCAACTACAGCTTAGAGACGTGAGTGTGGCTTGGCGTTCTTTGCCCCTGCAGATTGCGTGGGTTTCACCTACGGACGATCCAGCAATAGACTGGAATGAAAAATGCCAGCGAGTTGTTCCAGAAGCTGAAGGAGCAGGGCTGGCAGTCCCAAGGAAGCTCGGCTGCATCCGAGAAGCAAAGAGGGCGCATCCTTGCACGACTTGAAGCAAACTGCCCTACTGGCAGCATGCTGGAAAGGCGCGAGCTAGCTCTAGGCAATTGAACCGCATCTTTTTGTGGACTTGAAGTAGGGCAAACGAGAGCTTCACTCGGAGTTGGGAAGCGATAAGAAGAGAAACAACGACGCTCAATGGTCCTCTTGGAGACCCCAAAGGCAGAAGACAAGCCGGCACCGCGCCCCTGCGCAAAGGAAACTCCTCCACGGCCTCTGGGCAGACGGCAGCGGAGCTGCCCCCCCAACGCTTGGAGTGGGGCACGGGACTGAGGGCCTTTGGCAACAGGCGTGGTCAGCACAGGTGTCCTTTTTGGTTGTTTTGCTAGAAAAATAGATGGCCCTGGTTTACCTGGTGGTTTAATCATCTACCAGGGAAACCCATGTATTTCCCCTAAAAGGACACCTATGGTGGTCAGTGGTTGATTTTGCGGCACATGTTGTGAACCCGTGACGTTGCAGCAAGTTCTCACAAGGGTTTGGCTCACTTGGCACAGCGGGCTGCAGCCGCGACCATCCCACAGAATTCCTCTTTGGCCGGAGCTGAACCTGCTCGAGCTCCGACTGTGCAAGCATTCTACAAAGCTTCCACGGTCTTTCGTGTTGGGAGGCTTGCTACTCCTTGACCAGAGCCCCAATGTGCCTTGCGCAAGCATTCCCATGCAACGCTATGTTTGCACAAGCCGTCCCTCGGCCTAAAGCGAGGAACATAGGCTCCAGAACCAAACTGGCCCAGATATTCCGAAAAATGCCAGCTTGACATCAGCTTTACAGAGCCTCAGCACTGTTAGACTTGAGTCCTTGGTGGAAGATTCGTATTTCGAGGCTCGCTTCCGTACAGTCGTCAATGTAATAACTTGGAATCCGTGCCTAAAAAACAGAACAAGCCGATTGTCAGAACAACCAAGTTCAATCCTGCAAACAGCAAGATATGGTAAGCTCCAGCACCCGGTTCAATTTATGTGGTGCCTTCTCTTTTCTGCGTTGGGGCGGTCACCCAACCTAGGTTTGGTGGGTGGGTGTGTGCATTACTCACTCGTTCAGAAGTTCACGCGTATTTGCTACAGTCGAACAATACCGGATGCATGTTGCTTTCAGGCCTGCTGTGGCATGCACCTGTGAAACTACTCTTAGGCGATTTGTGCGACGACTTGCAAGAGTATGATTATGATGAGCAGCTACAGGATGATACTTGGCCGCGCATTTTCAAGCTGCACTGCTCAGCAACGTTTATCGTGGATCTCATTTACACCCTTATCAGAAAATTGATCTTTCTCAAGACCAGCACAGGAGGTGCCCAAGCATTTTGGTTCTACCGCATTCTACCTCAGGATGTTTTCCTCGGCAAGCTGGAAATCAAGAACACCTTCTACAATATCCCAGTTACAAGCTCTATGGGCCCAGAGGACGCCAGAACATTGCATTGCCATTTGTTTTGAGACATGTTCCTGCGAAAACCATGCTTGAGATGCCTTGCGCAGGTCATACCGCTTCTTTGAATTATGGTGAATGCCATGCGTCCGAAGGCGTCCGAAGCCTCGCAAGGACGGCGAAGTGAACAAGGAGTGGCAGTCTGCACCTCCAAACTTGCTCCAGCCATTGTGGAGAACCAAATTTCCAGAGATGGAGGCGACCACTGCATCCACACTGCAGCATACCTTTCTAAAATGTTACGAAATGACGTTTTACGGCCTACAGTCCCCAACAGGACAATGGGCACAAGAAGACATGAAATAAGGCACATCTTGTTGTATGAATGTATGAGAGCGGTTGCGAACCCAGTACGTGCAGCCAAGCCAGGCCCATGTTGAGACAAGGCAGGTGTCTTGACGCTCGGAGGCTGCACACAACCGTGGGGAGTGCAAACCTTGTGGCTACTTCCTCTACAAAGCTGATGGCTGCCGTAACGGCTGCTTTGCTGCGGATTGAAGTGAGTCTGACCGTGAGCAGATATATCACAGTCTGGGTGCTGCACTGGTTTCAAGTGATAGCTATTGTGCATGTGCTTAGGGGCAAAAATGAATTTGTATCAAACGGTGGGTTCATCAACTGTGGCCCCCCGCTGCCAGACGATTTCTCCTTGCCGCGTAACTCCAGCTGCCATGTGTCAGTGCTGAGGAGACAGCTGCCCCTATTGCCACCTTTGCCAAAAAGGCCGCAGAGTGTGGCCAAGTGCACTCATGCAGATCATGCAGCCTCAGTTTCGTGTTGTGCCAATGCAGGCAAGAGCATGCACAAGCAGCCAAAACGAAAAGGAAATCAGGGAAAACACAAGCCTCTGCATCGCGTCGACCTTACCGCGTAATTAGGTTAAGACCTCCGGCTTGACATTACGGACTGCGCGTGTGTTCCATGTTATTATGCCTGCTGTATGCTGGAACCTGGCATTTGTTTGCACATGGTGTGGCTTGCAAGACCAACGCAAGTCAGAAGGGATCTACTCCGGGTGGGCTTCAAACACTGTGTCATCTAGCGCGCGAGGGTACGGTGCATGTTGCCTGCAACATTGGAGGGTCCCGTTGGAAAGCCATAAGCTTGCTTGCACAGGCTGGCACGCTCGGTGTTGCGGGCGCTACGTGTCTCGATTCTAGGCCGTACTGATGCAAATATCCAGGAATGATTAGATGCTTTGGCTGGCAACACAGCAGCCCACAATCATGCTGCAATAAGAGCATTGTTTTGTCACCTGCTGCATCCCATGAAAGACCAGACTAATTCGCGGGGTGACTCTGTTGAACGAGCTGCTCCGACTTGCCCGGGGCGAATATGGCACTCCCAGCAAGTTGCGAATCAAGAACCTTACATTTGTCTAATGTTAAAGGTTGGCCCGGAGAATTGTGTTGGTCAACCCTTGAGCGACAAATGAATGAGCGAAGCTCCTCGCTTGAAGCATTGCATCGTTGCATTCAATTTTGTGGAATCCTCAAGTCAAAATAAAAAAGATCGAGTTCCTTGGCCGAGAATTTTCGGCCAGGTGAGATCAAGCGCCGGAAGCGCTTGAAGGCCAAGGCTTTGAAGGCGGCTTCGCAGGCCGAGTCGCGTGGTTCTGTTTTTGGTGTTGTTGTTTTTCTGCGCGACGTTTTTTTTTTTGCTTTGCGGCATAGAGAATTGGCGATCTTCCCAATGAGACCCATGAGTTGCCTTTCCGGATCCTTGCTTATTTGGCATGCAGGAGGTGCTGCAAGAGGAAGATGATGATGACAATGAGTGAGCAAATGGGGCGCCCGGGCATGTGCGATCCATCAGAGGCCTAGCAGCATGGGAAATCCGTGTTTTGAGCGCAAGGGAGTGTCAAGCTAAAAATCGTGACACAGATGCGTCAGCATGTTGTTTGCCGTTTTGAAACGGTGGAGTTATTGCGGATGCTGTATGTTTTTCTGCTGCCTGCCGTCCCCTTGAAATTTAACGGCCTCCTTCAGGTCGACAGCCGGAGGGGGGTGGAAAGCGTTGCCCGGAAAGGCGTTCCAATCAAAAGGGTCGGGTGCCTGTTCAACCGTAGATGTGTCTCAACGTGCCTCGCTTGGCATCGTGAAACCTTTGTTGAGCGCTTGCAGGCCTCCCCTTTGGCTGCATCGGCTTTGCTTAGACTTTCTGCCAGGGTGCAAGCACGGTGGCTCTGCCTAGTTGGATGTGCTTGTTTGTTTTTACTTCCCCCACTGGCAAACAATCATTGCAATCCGCTATGGGCATCCTGGCGAAAAACCAAAGAGCACGCAGGGAGCATAAGAGTGCCCCCGCGAAACAGGCGTGCTTTTAATCAGCCTTCCGGTGATCACGTTCCCAAGAAGGCTTTGCAAGACTCCACGCCTACAGCACTTATTCAAAGCTGCAAAGATTGCCGAAGCCGAAGGGGGCCCCGATCGAGGGCACCCCGTTGAACGCGTCAGGCAAAAGGCCGAGAGCTCTCGTACCGTTTGCTAGGCTTTGGAAGGGTGGGCCATAATTGTTTGATGCTAGACCCGGCAAGGACTTCACGCAATTGATTGCAGCTTCTTGTCGTCACAAGAGTGTACGTCTTCTGGGCCGCTTTAATTTTGTCCCATCAAGGCCTCATTTGTTATCGCAAGTCTGCATTGTGGGCGGAGCCGCACAAGAAGACGCCTTTCGAGAGGTCTGTAGCAGAGCTGCGGCGGACGTTCGCTACAGACGTCGTTGCAGACCTCTGTAACAAAACCCGCTGGCTCGTTACACACCCCTCGTTACACACCCCTCGTTACACACCTTCGTTACACACCTCAGATGAAGAAACCCGCTTGGCTGGCTGGATGCCGCTCGTTACATACCCCAATGCATGCGCACACTCTTAGTGATTTCCATGGTGCCTGCAAAGCAGACTTTTGCAGAGCATGCTTTTGCTGAAGAGCCAACTTGCCAAGAGCAAGTTGGCACAGGGGCCGCTAGACCTCGTTACAGACCTCGTTACATAGCCATCACATCTCGCTGCACGCCCAACCCCAGCCCAGGCCCGCGGCCCCCTTTGTGCCGCAGCTTGGCTTGCGTTAAATAGCTGCAACCAAGCTGGAGCCGCGGAGGCGCAGTTTGCATACTGCGCTTTGCTTTGCCTCGCTACAGACCTCGTTGCATAGCCGTCACACACCTCATTGCAGACCCAACCCCTGCGACCCCGCTTTTTGCCGCATCTTGGCTTGCGTGGAATTGCTGCAATCAAGCTGGAGCTGCGAAGGGGCGCTTTGTGTTTTGTGTGCTGCGCTTTGCTTTGCCTCGTTACAGACCTCGTTGCATAGCCGTCACATACCTCGCTGCAGACCCAACCCCAACCCGGGCCTGCGACCCCGCTTTTTGCCGCATCTTGGCTTGCGTGGAATAGCCGCAGCTGCGGAGGCGCGCTTTGCACACTGCGCTTCGCTTTGCTTCGTTACAGACCTCGTGACATTGGCGTTACATACCCCGTTACAGACCCAACCCCAGCCCGGGCCAGTGTCCCCCTTTTTGTGTCAGCAGTTGCAAATTTCAAGCTCGAGTGGGAGCTGCTGATAGAGGTAACAAGGGCCTCCGTCACGGACCTCCGCAAAAAGATTCGTGGCGCGTCGCGCGTTACAGACCCTCAAAAAACTCATAGCCATATAAATATATATATATACACATACATATACATATATACATGGTTGGTGCAGGGCGTGCAGGGCGTCCAGAGCACAGAGACTGGGGGTCGTATAATGAAAGCTTCCTGCGGGTCTTCTGCCTTCAACCCGAAATACTGGCAATGCACGATTCTCTCAAGGCACCCTGCGCGGTCGGTGCTGCAGTTCCTTGCCCTGGCACTGGGAGCTGTGCTGGCAATCAGTGCTGCCCCGACGGCGCCTTGGAGCCTACTTTGATTATTCATGCAATGTCACCTAACTAAACATATCTATGTATACTAGCAAGCCGTTTTGTGACTACACGGTTTATATACTAGAATGTTGGATACCATGCAAATATATGTACATATGGGGTGTTGTGTGCTTGCAGTGGGAGTTTGCCAAATTGATGCGCAACAGCTTTCACGTGCCCACGGCCTGCCCGCATGCAAATGCAGCGTAGGCTAAGGCACCCGCTGAAGACATCTAAACACATCCCGTGTTGCGTTGCTCGATTTTATTGCCATAGCGGTGGGGAGAGCTGTGTCTTGAAGTCGGCTCTGCTCTTGCGATTGTATGTGGGGGGTCTTGGTAAGTTTGTTGATGCGTCGGTTGCGGCTGCATGTGTAGATTTGTTACCATTCCGTTGGGCTGATGAATGATGATTTGGTTGTGGCTGCAATGTTTGGACTTATTGCGATTCCATTGTCCAGGACTTTGATTCACTCGTTAGACATTGTAGCTCCACGCTGCCTTGCTGCTCCTGTTGCTGTTGCTGTTGCTGTTGCCGCCTCCGCTGCCGCCGTCGCTGCTGCTGTGCGCTCACGCCCTCCTGCGCTCCATGATCTTGCGATTTTATCGGGGGGGGGGGGGGGGAAGGTTCCACTTCAAACCGCGCGCCTTTAACTTGTTTCGGGAGTGCCCCTGCCCAGCAGGAATACGTTTTTAAACCTTGCGACTTGCGATTCCATCGGGCCCGGTGTGCGAAGATTCTCCCTCTTTAGACTTTTTCAAAGGGAATCCATGCGATTTCTCGCGGTTCTCCGGCGCAAGCTGCTAGCAACGAGTCAGGCGTACGTTGCGATTCCATGCGGTTTTTGCGTTTACGCCACCACCTCACAGAGCGCAACGCTGAGCTATGATCTTTGCAATTGCATGGATGAGCTCCCTCCATAGGGAGAAGCGCTGGAGAGACAACATTGGGACGACTTCCCGGGCTTTGTGCGATTCCATGAATAGCGTGATTGGGACGGCGTGGGGCCCGGAACTGTTGCGGGCCCCCAGCCTCAGGAAGCACTTGCCCTTCTGCAGACGCAACTTGGAAGCACTTGCCTTTGGCTCGTCGAAGATCTTCGGGTTCCGAGCTGATTGGCACACACGCTGATTGTGCATTCCACCCAAGCCGCTGAGACTGTTTGGACATGCCATTGCAACGCTTGTGTGCAAGAGGTGTGTGTGTGTGTGCGTCTACCAGTTGGTTGTGTTGGATATTCATTACTTCAAGCGAGCTCGGCATGGCGGATCATGTTGCCTGCAAACTTGCCGTCAGTTGGCGTGGATTAGCCCAGGCAGGCTTCAAGGATTGCACTGATTCCAAAACAGAAGACTGCACGCAGGCGCCTTCAAAAAGTGCTGTGACAGCTATCACCTGTTGTTCCAGCACCCGGCAGCGTTTGGAATCAATTTGCCAGGTGACGGAAGAGATACACCTGTTGATGCTCTCGGTTTTGGGTCACAGATCCTTGGACGGACTGGCGAGTGGGGGTGGTAGGGCGTGTTGCTATTGAGCCCTTCGAGTGGATGTTTCATTAAACATATTTGGCAGTTCGGTGCATGCAAACTCAGCTGCTTGGCTTCAAGTGCCACAGACATGCTCTTGCTTAGCCTTTTTTCGAAGCTTGACACCAAGCTCAGCCAAGGTGGCTTGTCTGCTGGCGTGGATCTGTGAGTGTAATCGTTCTAGTTGCTGGCATGGCAGTCCCTGCAAAAAGCTGGCCATGCATTTCAATGCAAGCACAGCTCAATGAATCATGGAATCATGGCACGCCCCGAGCTCGCTAACTCGTTGACGGCCTTTTTCGGCTCGAGACATGGGGCGGCACTTTCACTTCATTACGGCGCGCGGCTTGCTTCGTGTGCACGGTCAACCTTGGGATGTAAGCATGCGGTAGTGGCAAAGGGCAAACGGTTGGCGAGTCACTCTGGAGGAGCATGTGCGTAAGTCCTGTGAGGGCTTTGAAACGCCTGGTTCTTGCAGGATGACAAAGGCTTCAGATAGCCTGAAGAAGCGCCGAACACCTTGCTTGACCTTAAGCAGATAGCTGATACACTCGTTGTGCTTTCGCAGCCCTGCAGCTCTTGCATACTGGTTTTCCCGCTGGGGGTAGCTGCCAAGCCTACGGCAGGACTCCTAATGTTGCAGTAGGATGCTTCGGGCATTTCCCCAACCACTAGATGGAGATTTCCCCGGGAGTGGGTGGGCCATCATGGGGAGGTCCATATGCTAACTGATTGTTACTCACCACAAGGGATGTGCCCAACACACATGGTCAAGACTTTCCTTCACTTGCCCTGGTTTTAGTTCTGGCTATGAGTCATCGCTTTCGCAATGGATAGACTTGTTTGCCTGATCAAGTGGCAAAAGCAGTACTTTTCCACCCAAATGCACGCAGAATGCCTCACAAGCTGCGGGATGGCGTTTTTCTCATGTGAAAGCTGCGCAGGTTTAGGCCCGCCTGCGCGGGGCAGGGCACCAGACAGCCATGCTGCCAATGCCAATGCCCAGTTCTGAGAGAGAGAAGGCGGTGGTATGTGGGGCGGTGATCTGTAAGGCAGCAGCAGACAACAGACCCCTCCAAGTATACCAAGGCCGGGCATGACACGTTTTTGCTTTTTTTTTCTCCACATGACTTGTGCTGAGCCAGGCGTGGTGTTTTTGGAGTTGTGTCGTCATGGCAGTGGCTTTGTGTTCATTCGCAAAGGTTGAGGACGGGTCGCAGCCTGCAGGGGAGCTCAGTGGTTGCGGAGACCTGCTATACCACAAATATTTGCAAAACAAAAATACAATCACAGGTTCCACAGCTCAGAGCCAGATCGGTTTGAGTGAAAGCAAGGCAAATGTTAAGGACTACTGCAGGGACACTCCTCTCTGGTGCCCAGGCTCAGCAGAAGACCTGGGGTGCTGCTACCTCTGATGCTTTGTCAGGACGATATACTGTGCAGCACCAAGCCTCATACGACTTCGGGATGATCATGTGATTGAATCCTATTCGCTTGACTGAGATGTTGCACTATGCGGTTTGTTCTTTGCTTTTGTGCATGCTCCCCCGAACTGAGGCTGTCGCGGATGACGCCAAACAGTCGGCCAAAAGAAGAGAGGCACCGGGTTTGGGCGGAGTTGCAACTGGGAAGCGTGCTCAGTGTAGTTATGGCCCAGATGCACAATTTCTCTCCGGAATCAGCCGGTTGACTTGGCAAGCTCAGCATGCTGATTCGGGCAATCCTGCTTTGGCAACAGTTGGCTCATTGGCCGAGGTCAGAGTTTAACCAACGATGTCGCCAAGACTGCGTAGGAACCACACAGATGGTATCCTAAAGTCTCAAACACGCTTCGGCTTGGGATTTGCCAAGCAAAAACACATGTCGATTAACATCGGCTTGAATATAGAAAAGCCGAGGCTGCAATGCTTTTTGCTGTTGCTGAAGGGCACATCAACGACAACGAGGACTACCCCCATGGATTGGTGGCATGACAATCATCGTCCTTGGGTTGATTAGCTGTGTGGATGAGGGTCAAGAATTCGGGCTCCAAACCCCAAACCAGCCGGTTGCATCAAGGGATACGACGAAGTGCCATTGCAAGGCCACCATGAAGGGAAGGCACCAGAAGCATTTGCGAAGGTCTGCGAAGGCCTAGCGGGATGCGCGGCTCTGCTCTCGCGCGTGAGGATTTCGATGCTGCCCTTCAGGCAGGCACGCAGGCGGGGTTGGTTCGCCTTGCTGAAAGGTTCGCAAGGCGTCTCCGATGGCATTCAGCTGTAGGCACTAGAGATGTTCAAAGATCTGGGCGACATCGAAGGCGTGAGGCCCTTAGAGAAGGGACACCGAAAAGGCCAAAAGTCAACACCAATGGGATCCCATTTTGGGGTAGGCGCACCACCCATGGCAGTCTATGATAGTTGGGATTGGGTCCCGTTCATTGGGGGATTACCCATGGAAAAAGACTCTAGATTGGAATGAGTTTTATCATGTCGAGGTTGCTGACTCCCTGCGGGTGGTGGTGGACGCTATGCGCCTTACAAGCGCCAAGAAAGAAGAGAAGCCTGAGGAGGCGATTCGGCCTTTGAAGCGGGAGCAAGAAGCCGTTGGAGACATGGCAAGCACTGAGCCCTGCACCTGTTTGCGACACTTGCATATGCCACGTGCCACGTAAGCCATGGTCTCTTTTTGGCTGTGGCCATTCAAACCCCGTGCATTCAAAACGGCCTGCTCATCTTTCAGCGGTTCCCGGCAGGCAGTGCGCCTCGCAATGGAGGAATTGGTTTGGTTCCGTCAGGAAGGCCACAAGCGCGGCCAGGCGAGCTGCGACTTGCACTGTGACCCATCCTGGACCTCCTGTTGAGACGTGTTGAGAGCAGACATGGCGAAACTGTACGGTGACGCACGAGGATTGCAATCAAGCGATAGCAACCAGTCCCTGTGCCATTCCAGGGTTCAACTCTTCCACGCGGTGTTGGCTTCCCAGCTGCGATCCTCAGTTGCTAGGCATCCATGCTGCTGGCGCTGGCAAGGATCAACACCAGCAACCGAAGAGGCTTGGCATGTCATGAATCAAGTGTTGGAAGTGTTGCCACGTGGCATTTGCGGCTTGGGTTGCGTTCCACAGACTGGAAGATTCAGGGTGTTTGAGCATGGGTCTGACCTCAGGCGTAAAGGACCGGGAGCAGGGCGTGCGCCAGGCCAAAGAGGCCGGGGGCAAGTGTCCCATAGACCCAATGCTGACCCCATAGAGCACCGAAACAGTTTGTTAATAGGAGGTGTCCAACTGGGTTTAGTGGTTGGAATCAAACCACTGGAGGGTCCTCCACCCGCTGCCCGGCGGTTTTTATTTTCGCCGCTTCGCCCGAGCCCGAGGCTTTGAAGATCTACAGGGAGCTGGGGGACAAGGCAATGGAAGGCGCGGTGACAGAACGGAAGGCAGGCTAACATGGCTCGGCAGGCTAACAGGCTGAGGTTTGTCTCCAACGGGGAGTTCCACAACGGGTTGCTTCACTTCGGATTCCTTTTGAACCACTCCGGCAGGAAGAAACTGGCCAAGTGGTTCTAGTTGCAGGGCGGCTGCCATCCGCAGTCCGCGCGCACGCGCCACGCACGCTGCCGCGTAAAGGGAGGCCAGTTTAGAATATCAGGATGAACGGGTGAACCGAAGCAAGGGCTTCTTCAGGATCAGGTGTCTGAGCCTTGCAAGAGAACAGGTCGTGCTGCCGTATGTGGGTGTGGGTCACCCTGTACCCCTGGTGAACATCAAAATAGGTGTTACATGAATGTTCATCCGCCCCAAAATTGCTCGCCATAGGTTATGACCCATGGCCATGTCAGAGTTCAGCGTTCGCAGTCGGCAGGTGCTGTGCACCTCGTGCTCGTAGAGCTGTGCTGTTACGCCGGAGCACCTGGATCGCATCACTCGCTGATGGCAAGAATCAGTGGCATGTCTTCGGGTTTTAGCATTATGTTTAATTGCTGATCTGTCTGGGTGAATCATAATGACCTCACACGACCTCACCCCAAATGGTGGTTTACGTGGTGGAATCACCTTATTTCAGGTTGGTGAAATATCATAAGTGAAGGGCACAAGGCATGGCTGCGCACTGCACGGCTGACAGGTGAAGTCCTTTCAAGAAGCCATTGGGGCGGCCAACAAGGCTCGCATTGGACTTGGCAGTCTTTCAAAGTTGTGGCGCGCCTGCATTCGCTACAGCAACGGCTGAAATGGTGAACAGGCAATGGCCATCTTCGAGGACCTTGGCGACTCCCGCAGCGAGGCTGCCAGCACAGCCAATGGCACTGTTGCCCGCAGATGACTTGCTGGTGTGTTCCTGGTATCCTTTAAAACGTCTTGCCTTCAGCCAGCTGAATTGTCAAGACGATCTAAAGACGGATGAAGTGCATTGGCGATTGCTGCGCCAGCGTGGGATAGCCGGCAGGCCAGGAGGTGCAAGCAGTGCTTGGGGGCCTGTGCTCATCCTACCCGAGCACGATGATGTTAGACTTCCACCATCCACAGGCAAATGTGTGTCCCGTCCATCCCCGTCCATCCCCGTCCATCCCCAATGCCGCACAGCTTGCGCCGCCGCAAGTCGCCCGACGCAGGCGCGAGCCCTGCATATGCTGGCCGAAGCACGCTTCGGCAACCGCCAGATGGAGGGTGGCACGCAGGCACCGGCGCACCGGCTCGGCGCGAGGGTCCGCTTCTTGACAGACTTGGTTTTCGGCGCTGTTTTCACGAGCCCCGGCTTTGGCTCTCCAGACAAGGAACTGGTTGGTTGATTATGGTTGATTGTGGTTGTTGGTGGGTTGGGTTGGGTTGGGTTGGGTTAGGTTGGGTGGGGCGGCCGAATCCCCAGCATCCCCGGTTACTTGGTGTCAGGGCTGCGTATTGGCTGGAGTTGCCCGGCTGAACCGGCTGCATCCCCAGCATCACCGGCATGGCTCGGACTAGGGCTGTTATTGGCTTTGATTTGGTGGCAGTCAGAGTTGCTCGAGGCTGGTTTCGGGTGAGTGTTGGGCTTGCTGAGGTCTTATATAATGAGGGCGGGTCTTGGGTTTGTTGGAGGTTCATCTCGGCTTGGTAAAGGGCTGATATCCAGGATGTTGCTGGGAGGGTTTAAGGTTGACTCCGAGTCGGTTTGGGCTGGTGTGGGGCTGATTTGGCGAAGGTGTGCGGCCCGTTTTTGGCAGTAGTGCTTCAGGGGTGTGGTTGCGCATGCGCCAACCAACCCGACCCCCAACCTGGCCAAGTAGAGAATACCACTTGATTCCCCCTAAAAGTAGAACTACTGGGTTTAAGTCCAGCTTAGTGAAGTCACAAAGTGGAACTCTGACTGCCTCTTGCCTTCCGCATCTTTTGTCGCAGGCGGCCGAGGATGCCATCGCTCTTTGGCAGGAGCTGGGGATGAAAAGGCAAGAGGCCGGCGCCTGAACCTTGAAGCCCGTGGCATCTGCACATTGCTTCATGTGGCCGTGGTTGTCAAAACCTCTGGGATCCCATTTTGGGGTAGGTGAATTCACCACCCATTTTAGAACCTATTGTAGTGGGGATGGAGATAGTTCACTGGAGGGACGGGATTTTGACCCATGGCCATGTCATTCCATGCAGGCCATCGAGTGGCTCTCCATAGCACGGTGGCACGTTGAAGAGGACCGCGTGCCAGCTGTTTGGCTCACACGGCTGCTTGCCATGATTGCAGTGACCTGACATTCTGCACGACCAGCTTGGCGTTTGCTGAAGGTAGAGCGAGTTGCTTGTGCAATTTTGAATTGATTGCTGCAGCCAACTGTTTGGCTCAAGCAGGGTAGGCTGGCAACATGAGCAAGCCCGAGATTATAGTCACAAAGATGACCAAGGCACGTGCAACGTCGGTCGAGACGTAACATTTAAAATTATCAATACTTGGGTCCCGAAGTTGTGTGTGTGTGTGTTTGTTTGCGTGCGCTCGGGGGAGCATGGGTGCACGGGTTCGTAGACGGGTTCGTGCGTGCATGAATGCTTGCCTGTGTTTGACTATGTAGTGACTATGCATTTGTGTCGCTCTTTGGCAGTCGTCCGAAAGTTTTTTTTTGATTTTAAGACATTAAGGCAACGGATTTCGGTCTTGTGTATTGGCCACTGGTCTCCATAGAAGTGCCGCGATGGACCTCGCTTCTGTTGGCAAAGTTTTGTGCAAGGGACCTTGGGCCCTTACAGTTTTGCAGACTGGTCGCGAAAACCTGTTCGTGGAGCTATTCCATTTGCTTGCCTTCCACGTTGCTCGCATGCTTTTGAGTCACAACATCCAAACATTGCGGCAATGCTTGGCGCAAAGTATACTTCGCGAAAGTCCATGGACCTTGACAACTTCCGCACACGCGTTGGAGTTGGCAAAGTGTGCAGCGTGCACGTGAAGAACTGGAACTGCAAGTTTGCTTCTTCAGCGCCATGCCCCAGCTCCAGCTCGGCTGCATTTCTCATGCTATTGGCAAGCTGTGGCCGGAGCTGCCCTTTAATAGCTCAACTTGTTTCTTTGCTTTGCCGGTGGAAGAGAGCTGCTTATTCAAAAATGCCCTGCGAAGCTCCGCAAGGGAGCTTGCGAAAATATTAATTTCGCGGCGATGGCAACGCCTGGAACAAGGGAGTTCAGACAACCACTCATGTGAGTGACAATCCTAGTATCACAAGCAAAGGCGGGGCAACAAATTCTAGCTGGGATATTTGAGCGCATGTTTGCGTTTGTGTGTCCTGTTTGTTTGTTTGCCTGCCTGCTTGTCTGGTTGTGTGTGTTTGCTTGCTCGTTTGGTTGGTTGGTGGGTTGGTTGGTTGGTTGGTTGGTTGGTTGGTTGGTTGGTTGGTTGGTTGGTTGGTTGGTTGGTTGGTTGGTTGGTTGTTTCTTTGTTTGTGTGTTTGTTTGTTTGTTTGTTTGTTTGTTTGTTTGTTTGTTTGTTTGTTTGTTTGTTTGTTTGTTTGTTTGTGTGTTTGTAAGTGTGAGTGAATGTTTTGGTGTGTGTTGGTATAGTATTTTGTGTGCATAGTTGTGTGCGTGTGCTAGTTGCGTGTGCTAGGAAATGGTTTACCATCTCGAAAGCCGAGGAGGATGCAGAAGAGAAGCACAAGATCTCGAGTTGGGGCACCTGGGGCTGCGAAGTGTCCAAGTTCGACTGGCAGTACTCGGGTACGGAGACAGCCTATGTCTTGGAAGGACTCATGTGCCGATGGTGCCGATGTGCCCTCTAGAGCAGTATTGTGGCCCTTGGCCCTTTGTAATGACAAAGTTTGAAGGGAATTCGCATGGCAACTTGTTTTTTTTGAACAAGCCGCGCAATACAACACGCCGGCAAACGGCAGTCGCAGGTGAAGTCACGGTCACTCCAACGGGCGGTTGGAGTGGCTGCAAGGCGACCAAAGTTGAAGCCGGGGACCTTGTCGTCTTCCCCGATGGCATGACCTGCGCACCTGGGGCCGCATTACTGTGGACCTAGCAGTTGCTCCATTGCATCCACATAAGCTGTTTGTTGGCGTATTATGCAGGCTGTGCGGGGCTGTTTGAGGTTTGGGATGTAACCAAGCCTATCAAGAAGCACTATAGCTTCTCCTGAGATGCTCTGCAAAGACTCACACGCACAGCAAAACGCTGTGCAATGAAACCTGCGAAAAAGAAGTACTCATGTCACTCTTCGTGTATGTGGAGCTCATGCTCAGAAGGCGAGGGCGGAGAATGCGACATGATGTTGCTTGGTCGTGGCCCATGAATCTCATATCTCTGTGCGGCAGTTCGAGGCGAAGTGTGTGGCTCATTCAAAGGGCATTGTGAAGGATCTCGAATTCGGAGCGCTTCATCCCGCCCTGGGACGCCCTGCAAGAGGTCGCCCATGCGGCCCGATGCAGAAAAACGCCAATGCAGGCGCCGTCAGCCACTTGGCAACAAACTTGTCACTTTTGGACGAAATCCGGCAATCCGCAGACCTAGCTTTGCAGGGCCTTTTAATTCATGCTTCGCGGACCTAGCTTCGCATGAAGAGTCGAGGCTGCGGGACCTTGCCAAGCAGTGCAAGCGACGAAGGCCCGGCACGTGGCGCGATGCGTGTGCATCGTTTTTGTCCTAGAGATGCTTTCTTTTGGCCTCTTCCAGAGCAGGTCCTGCGGGAGCTTGCCAAGAAGAATGCCGAAAAAGCTTACCGCACGCTGCAGTACATGCAGCAAGAGATGCTGGAAGCTAGGCTGTTATACGAACAATCAAGGACCCTAGGAAGAAACTACAGGCTCTGCCAAAGGTTGTATACTATTTGGAGAGCGGTTTGAATAAAGGATATTGTGTTTCTCCCCCGGAATGTTTCCTGGATTTTGCCTTATTTGGCTTCTTAGCTTCCAGGCTTTTTGGCTTTGGGCTTCTTGGCTTACAGGCTTCTTGGCTTACAGGCTTCTTGGCTTACAGGCTTCTTGGCTTTGTTTGTTGTTTTTGTTCTGCTCGAGGCTGGCTTTTTGGCTTTGCTGGCTTTTGGTGAGTGTTTGTTGGTTTTGGCTTTCCGTATCTTCAGCATCACCGGTACCACCCCCCGCATTGCCGTTCTTGGCTTTTTGGCTTCTATGCTTCTTAGAGCGCCTTGTTTGTAATCGCGCACTTTCTTCCTTGGTGTCTTTATGTGTTTTCTATTGCGAGCGGCCCCAACCCCCACGCGTTTGTATTCGGCCGTTGTTCGGCTTCCCCTCTTCTTTGAGCCGTTGTTCGGCTTATGACCTCAAGCGCACCCGTGAACCAACCCTTCTGAATCCAAAGCCCACCCTCCCACGTTTCGGGCCCTAGAACAACCCTAAACCACGAAACCCACCCTAAACCGCAACTCAAACTAAGCTGAAACCAAACCTCACCTATTAAACCTTAAACAAGCAAGCTTCCCCAGAGGTGTCCCCGCAAGACAAACCCACTCTAAACCAGCAATAAACTATCCCTAAACCAACTCTAAACCAACCCTAAACCCCCAAACCACCCTCAGCCAATCCTTAAATCCACCCTAACCCCATCCTAAACCCACCCTAAGCCTGCACTAAACAAGCACAAAACCATCCCTAAGAAGCCCGCCTTCCCGAACCACTCTAAGCCCAAGCCCTAAACCATCACAGTACCTGAAGCGGACCCAAAATATGTTGCAAGCGAGCGTGAAGCAGCAGTTCCGACGCTTTCATAAATATTCACAGGATGCTATGCCCCCCCTCCAAAGCTCCCCCCCAAAAAAATAAATAAATAAAGGGATTCTGAGATCCAAATTGGGATCCTGAATGATCGGCAACTTCGCTTGCGCTTAAGGAGCCCAACGTCTTCCATTTCAGCAACTTGGACGCGGCAGGCATTCTTGATTGCCTAACTCAGTGCTCCACGTGTTCAAGCTTATTTGGCTGTGGCTCAAAACCGATAGGTGCAGCACCCATTTTAGTCGATTTTAGTGGGGATTGGGATGTTCACTGGGGGTGCGGGATTTTGACCCATGGCCATTTAAATTGATTTCTGCCGAAGTCTGCCGCTTCTTACACCCTTGTTTGTTGCCTCGTTACTATTCCTTGGCCCGTGCTATCGAGCATGACATGGGAGCCGCACTGAAGGTTCCATCATCGGCTCGAATTGGACCTTGGCCCTTAGCCTGATCTTCCATCAGATGCGGCAGCAGCTGGTGCAGTGTAACGTGGTAACCTACAACGCTGCGATGGATGCCTCTTGCAGAGGCGCGGTGAAACCTCGGCGTTTAGACTTTGACGTGCCTCCATGCAGGCTGGCACTGGGATTTGGCGATGGAGCTCCTCCACAACATGCCGAGCAGGACACTGGAGCCAGACATGTACAGCCAACCGCCCTGAAATTGTGTACTGGGTTGGCTGCGGCTGCGCGGCATGGCCTCACGCAAGCGGTGAGGGTTGCTGTACGTGTTGATTCAAGTTATTGGGGTTGCTTTTTTGAAAAACTGCCCGGATAGAAAGAGCCACTGGGCTTCGAGCCCGGCTGTAGGGAATTGACTTGGCTATGGCATGCTGTGGCAAACGGCCAAGGTGACAGCACGCTGCTGCGCAGTTTGCCGTGGTGCTTCGCGACGACCATGCTGCAGAGGGCGGCCTTGGCAGCATGGCTGGAAAGGGTCGCAACTCGCAGGGAAGACCGGGAGACAGCAGTTCCACTTGACAGACGCACACCTGGCCCCCAAAGATGCACAACGAAAAGTAGAGTAGCAGGCGCTCCAGCCGGCCTTTTTGTTGAGTATAGAAGTGTGTGATGGAAAGTTGTCTTTCGTGAGATATCGTTTCAAGCTGTACGCTTTGGCATTTGTTCCACTCGGAGGTTGGCTTGGATGGTTTCTAACACGCGTTTCAGGATGCCAATGTTGCATGTGGCTGCCCACAGCCCGCAAAACGAAACAATGTTGAAAGCCACGTCTCCATTTCCGGGAAAGCTTCCTTTGCGGCGCCAAAAGCCCGACAAAAGGTGCCTCGAATGTAAAATGATACGGCTGTACTCCGGCACAATAGTTGAGAACAGCTTTGGTAGGTGCAAGACCTGCTCGAGGATGCTGGAGAGAGAGGGGGAGAGAGAACGCTTGTAGGTTTGCCACTGATATTTTGTGGGGGCGCTACCTGTGTGTACTGAGGCCGCTTGCAACTCAGCAGCTTGTCTGCATGCCGAAGTGACATGTGCCTTTCCTGTCTGTTCAAAGGGAGAAAGTTGAAGCCTTCCGAATGTTCACTGCGAGTGAAACAAACCGCCGACACCTTGCCCCACGCGTCATGACTTTGAGGCGATGAAGGCTTGCGAGGCCTGGCAGCTTGAACCGTTGAACTGCCGATGTTTTGCGGCTGACACGGCGTCAAGAGCAGTCCATGAAATATCTCCCCGTTTATGTGCATTTGAGCGCATGCGTCCGGTGACTAGGCGGGGCAAGTTGGCAGTGCTGTGCACGCTCGGGTTTTATCACAGAAATGAGAGTGCTGACCGTGGCATACAGTGGTAGAAGCTCTTGCATGGCGGAAGTGGCCCTCATTCTATAATGAAGACTAGACGTGGAGATGATGCCATGCCCTCGATATCGACAAGGGCCGTTATAGGTGCAAAAACAAAGAAGAGAGTCTTGTCAATCGTCATGTCCTTTGCGGATCACAAACGGGTGATGTCTTCGTGAGAAATGGAAAGTTGAGCAGATATGTGTGGGTCAACATTAAACCACCACCGGACCGCAGATTTTAGTCCATGTGTCCATTTAACAGGGTTCAATTTTAGGTAATGTTCTATGCCAGTTCCACGGAATGTCGCGCGCGGGCTTTGCTTCGTGAATGCCAGGCCCAATGGCAGGCAGCCTTGCGCACAATGCAGCTCGCCAAGCTGCAGCTCTCGCTGGTGTTTCGGCGGGAGAACATGTCGGTACGGGTCAAAATTAAACGACCAGGGGACCGCAGGCTTTGATCATTGGTTCTATTTACCAGGGTTCCGTTTTGGGTACCTATTTTGACCCACAGCCATGTTCCCAAGCCCCTGTCCAAGTGAAATTTAATGGTTCGGCGGGGCAAAGTCGCGGACATTTCAAGCCATTTGTCCAGGCTTGTGTAGCATGGGCAGGCGCTGAGGCGGTTTTTTCTGCCACAGGAAAAGCAGATCAAGGGGCAAGTGCTGGTTCCTTTGCCACTCGCATGGCGAATGTACATGGGAACGTACTGGTTTGATCTTGTTTGCATTGCTTTCCTCAGTTGTCAAAGCCTTCCAATTTTGGTCCATATTTCGTCATGGCCCCAAAAGGTTAACCTTTTAGTTCCAGGTCCTTTGGGCAACTGAGTTTCTCATGCTTAGGACACTGTCAGCTACGGAGCAGCTCTCAGCGCGTGTGCTTCCTCTGGGCTTTGGCAGCGAGCAGCCCGCTTGCTGGGTGGCATGCGCGCAGAACAGGCGTGGCATACGTGCCACGTGATGTGTAATGTAGTTTAAGTGTGAGTGTGTGTGTGTGTGTCAGTTGGTGCAGTGACGCGCAAAAAGTAGCTGCCAGATGCAAGTGCAAGTGGCGGAAATGTAAGAAGCCGAGGCTCCCCGCAAGAGCACCGTACGCCAGCCCACTTCTGAACAGGACCCCCCAACCCCTGTGTTTGTTTTTCGGACCCATGGATCTCCATGCAAAACCATTTTGGCTCAAGGCCTTTCATGTCACACATCAGATGTACATAGCTCACTGAGCCATTGCATCCGTGATACAAAGGTGCTACAGCGGACAACTTTCAGGGTAGACCACAGCACACAGTCAACCAGGGCTAATCCAGTATCAATCCATCAGTATTGACACTTGGACTCTCCGGAATAGATCCAGAGACCTACCAAATAGAGATCCATTTTCTACCACAAGGTATCGGTTCCCTTCGAGGATAAGATTCCAAAGGCAGTGGGCCTCAATTGCGGTAGCGGAGCGGGTTTTCCGCAGAGATCCAAACAAGATGTCATCCGATGGAGAAGGCTTTGTGGAGGCCTATTGACAAGAAGAACAAGCAGCTCATTCGCGCGCACATCACGCCTCGCAAGGCGCTGTTCACACCAGCGAAATGTCCAATCAATCCTGACAACAGCCGAGAACGCATCCAAGGGCGGAGATCCAGACATCTTAGAAGACAATTGGAGACTCACATCCCAGGCGAACAAACCAATGATCAACCTGTGGATAGGTAAGACCATTTTCACCTTCGCAGACAATCCGCTTAAAGATGAAGAATCAGGTTCAGGATCTGCTGCAAACAGGAACATCGACAAGAAAGGCCGGCCGACCATTGAGCCAGATCCTACAGCGCCATCCGCAGACGAACCAACATCGTTACCGCTTGCTGTAGGCAGAATCCACCAGCGCTTGTCAAAGCCCGAAGAGTTGAAGAAGCTCCACCTTCAGCATCATCACATCACTACCGACCAATTTCGATTCAGAACCCGCGCGCTTCACTTGCCGAAATCTACCTACGACTTATTTGACAAAATCCGAAGTGAGCGCGAAGTTTGCCAAGCAGCAAAGCAAGCACCATCAAGAAGCAAGACGAGTGGACTTCGAGCGGACACATTTGGAGGCATGACATTCATTGATCATTGCCAGGTTCCTCTCGGAACCGGAGAACGTATCATTGTTTTTGTCATCCTGGATGGAGCAAGGACATTGCTAAATGCCGAGGCAGTGACAACCATGCAGGAAATGGAGAACATCACTGTCCTCAGGACCTACTTTGACCAGTACCACTAGCAGCCCAAACCAGTTGTTCGAGATCAAGCCTTCATGACGGAAACATGGGAACATTTCTATCAATCCCGCAACACCACACCAATATCGTTGGGACACCATAACCGAATCGAGCTGAAGCAGTTCGGCTCCTGAAGGCACCGTTGAAGATCATGCTCAACTCCATTGAGGCAGGCGCAGCGCCTGCAACACTGAAGAAGGTGACATACCGACAACTTGCGAAGGCAGCTGCAACTGTCAAAAATCAGACCGTCACCTACGAAGTTGTAACAGCTTTGGAACTCGCATCCGGGGCAGATCTCATCCAGCTTGATGTCGCAACTCCAACTCAATTGACGATTGACAGGAATGAGGAAGAGCTGACAGCTATCCAGATTAAGCAGTTGTCAAAACAAGCATTCCAAGAAGCTCGTCAGTCCGAAGAATTCCGCAGAGACCTTGCTCAGAGTTTCCGAACGAGTTCAAAACCTCTACAGGTGAATGACAAGGTATTTTACTGGCAGGAAGACAAACCAAGATTTGTTCCGACGGAAGCAAAGGAGGAATATGGTTAAAAGGAAAAGTCATTTCTTTGGAAGGAGCAATGGTTGGACTTGACCTTGGAACCCGACTCATCAAAGTCAACATGACCAAGGTCAGGAAGGATGAGACCCGGAATTGATCTTTTGTTGCCAGATGAGCAAGAACCCTTTCAGAAAGAGCAAGGCGGATCCTCATCCGATTCCAAGAAGAAGTTGTCATTTACACCAACTACTAAGCCATCAACCTCCAAACCATTACGCATTGCTGGAAAGACGACTCCCAAGCCTGCAGCACCAAGACCTGCAGAGAACATGTTCGTGGAAGACATGACATCCATTCCTGAACAGGCACACTGGAATTGTGTACGTAAAGGGAAGATCCACGTTCTCAAGATCTTTGCAGCAAGTGCCAGATTCAGTCAACGCTGCGCACTCTCAGGTCTAAAGGTTGGGACACCAGCCGACATTCGCAGTGGATTTGACGTAATGACATCCAAGAGATGACACATGGTCATGGAGATCATCAAGGAACAAGCACCCGATCTCATCCTCATGGCACCAGTCTCTGGACCACGGTCAAATATGCAGAACGTCCAACCAGACCAACAGAAGGTCTGGGAGAAGCGAAAGCGCTACAAATCTCGATGGTTGACTTCGTGGCACCCATTGCGTGATGTCAGTTGAAGCACAGAAGATAGTCTATCATTCAACATCCCCAGACATCCAAGATCTGGTATGCGCATTGCACGCAGCAACTCTTTTCAGATCCATCAGTGACCTGCAAAAAATTCATTTCTGTGCATACGGATGCTGAATCCGGACTCAGAAGTCTCAAGCCCACAAGCTTGATGCATTGCTTACCTCGCGAAGTAATGAGACCGATTTTCGCAGGTGTAAGAATTTTACCAGTTCAGAGAAACACCAGCATCAACCCCTAGAAGGAAATGCTGGCACTTCCGGAAGCAGGACTAAGCTGGCACAGGTTTACCCTTACCAGTTCTGCCAGGATCTCGCGCACATCATCCTGCGTCACCTGAAGGTGAAACTGCTTGATAACGAAGTGTACCTTCTTGAGGACATCTTCGAGCCGTTCACCAATCAACAAATTGACCTTCTCAGGAAGGAAATGGAAGCCATTGGCAAGGAGTTCAACATGACTAGCAGCAGCGACGCTGTTTGGCCTTCCCTTCAATAAAAATGTTCAACCACTGGTCATCCAAGATTCGCTAGTCCAAAAGTTTCAGAAGACCATGAAGCAGTACACTCTGGGGACTGAAATCAACATTCTTCGACAGGATCCAAACGACTGGCAATGTCAGAGAATGTGGAATGCTTGCAAGAAGTTCAGACAACTTTGCGTCTCATCCACTCAGTACGATGCATGCACGATATACGTCCACACAATTGGCATTGTCTTGGCTATCACATCACCTCCGGACGATGCGTGCATAGCGTTGTGGCAACCCGATCAGCTGCACAGAAATTGGGTCTTGCCTGCATCAAAATGCAATTGGGAAGGTTACAATCCGAAGTCGTGGCACGCAGTCATGCTTTCCTCCGTTCATCACTCCTTTTCGGATGCGCCGGCGTGCCGATTGAGGTGGCTACCTCGGATCCGCCAGAGGAACCCCATCAGCCTGACGACCAGCAGCCACCTGATCAACCGGATCATCCTATGCCAGACCCAAGACCTCCGACTCCGGACGAACACATGTTGGATCCACCGCAGGATCCTCCAGATCAGCCTGATCAGAATGATCGACCCGATCATCCCATGCCACCTGCACCGCCAGGCGCGGGGGTCAAGTGGACTCAATCGACTGGGGGGCCATCTCAACCGATGCTTCCGGCTGTCGTGGTACCTTCGCCTCCAGCAATCCTGACGAACCCTGAAGCAGAAGAGAATGATGAAGAGCTTGAACTGCCTCACCTTGAGCAAGAGGAAACAACTCACCCAGTGCAGGAAACTGGGAAGAAGAAGAAGAAACCAGGTGAGATTTCAAATTCACCTGGATCATCTCCCAGAAACGAACCTGCAGCTTTCATCCAGTCTCGATCCGGTCAATTTGCCGATGTGTTCCAACAGTGAGAAAAAACTCATTCCTCTATGTTCCAACTTCATGCGGCATGGCCATACGATGATCAAGAAGCCGATCTTGTTCTCGCTGAAGCACATTGGTCATTCATGACAGCCGAGCAGAAAATCTGTGCTAATACAGGACTTGGCGGTTCCGAGAGACATTGAAGGCAACCCTACATTGAAGGCAACCCTGTCCTTCTTGGACGCGTGAAAGGGACCTTCAAACCGTCCTACAGGTGTGGTTTCTCTCATCAGAAATACACAGACAAGAATCATGTTGATCGATTGTGCAAGAACATGACTGACGATGACCGAGCACTCTTAGTCTTGTACTCATCCAAGCAAGAATCCTTCAAGGCTTCATCCACATCCGCACTCATTGGAAAGAAGCGGAAGGAAGCAACAGCCACTGAGACAAGAGCTTATCAGCAGCAGTTTCTCGAAGCTAAGCATCTCGAGTGCAAATCTTGGCTTGACAATGAAGTGTTCGACCTAGTCGACACACGCAAGATTCAGGTCAGAAACTTGGTCACCGGTCGCTGGGGTCTTACCCGAAAGCGAGACAAGGACGGAAACTTTCTGAACACCAAGGCTCGTTGGGTCCTCCGGGTTTTCCGGATGAGCAGAAGAATGATCAGCAGACAGACAGTCCTTCTGCACCCAGGAGTGGTTTCCGCCTTGCGATTCAAGCAGCCTTAAACAAGGGCTGGAACATATTTCATGTGGATTTGAAGGCAGCATTTCTCCAAGGAGAAGCATATGATCAGAATGGGATATCCCCCACACATTGGTGCTCGCATGAAGAAGCCCGATGCACCACGCAGGTGGTGGAACATCCTAGGTTCGGCACTCCGTTCATACTGGTTAGTGCCAACACGAGCAGATCGTTGCACATATGTTTACTACGGTAGACCGCTTCCGAAATCCACACCGATCAGCGAAAAGAAATCATCCAACACATTCGATTTAGAAGGCGCAGTTGATTACCTTATGGATCCTGTTTCCGGTAACAACGCCAAGAATCGACAAGTTCATGGAGCTCTATCCCTTCATGTTGATGATCTTCTTATGACTGGTGATG